AAAAATTTTAAATTACGGTACAGAAAGTTTCAACAATTTGCCTCAAGGCATGATGCCAAGCACCACGAGTTCATTCTTTTTTTTTTATAATATAACAATATTTTTTGTTTATCTTTAAAAATAATATTTTGAAAACAACTGTGAGGGCACGTCCCGCATTTTGGAAACCACGGCGATATACTGATTTATTTGTCGGATTGAAACAATTTAATTGAAATTGCCCTAATTTTTTTAAACTAGTTATGTAATTTTGTTACGTAGTTATAGAATTTATTAAAACTCTCCTTCGATAATTCAGGTTGTTGGGTTATAATTTAACCCTTGTAGCTGTATTAAACACTGATTTGTTTGTATATTATGTGTTTGTTGCAGTTCTAATTACGATCACTGATTTGTTACTAAGTTATAATGAAAGAAGATATATTTATTTTTATTGATTATTTACATGTTGTTAAGCGGACTTTACTTTTAGAAGTGAACAACTAGTTCAATTAAAACACTCCGCTACCCTATCTACCAGGGGCAGCAACCATGCCGTGTAAAGCTTAATGCCCTGAAGTTTTGTCACCTTCATGGCCAATATAATAAAACGATAAGACGTCCGAACAAGTTGATTATGTTGTATTCTTTATAGTCCAGTCATTTGGTCGTTTTGCCGGTACAGTACTCCGGGAATTCTGAAAATTGGTAATCTTATAGATTTCGAGGTGCTCATTACGAAAATCAACTTTGCCACCTCAAATTTGACGGCAAGTTGCCGCCATATTGGAAAAATGGCGTCAAAAAACAGCTTTTTTAATATATCTCCTTTCTGGCTTATTCTACGATAAAAGTATCTATGTACGAATTAAACTAGATAAAATTTACTACAATTTTTTAGAAAACCGTTTTTTTGTAAAATTGATAGTTTGAGAGTACGGCCGCCTCAAAGTCTTTGCTGCTCTCGCCGTAGTATCAAATCTCTCCATATATGACAGCACTTTGAACTTGACCATATTCTTTCTAATAAATAAACATTTTCAATGTTAAATTAAGCAAATAAGTTTTAGTAATAAAATAATTCAAATATTTTTCTGTTTTCCTTTGCTGTTTTTAACACTTCAAGCTACTTACTTATAGCTACTTTGCCATTGAAGTGTTAAAAAATCAGCAAAAAAACAGAAAAATATTTGAATTATTTTATTTCTAGATCTTATTCGCTTAATTTAACATTCAAAATATTTATTTATTAGAGAGAATGTGGTCAAGTTCAAAGTGCTGTCATATATGGAGAGATTTGATACTACGGCGAGAGCAGCAAAGACTTGGAGGCGGCCGTACTCTCAAACTATCAATTTTACAAAAAAACGGTTTTCTAAAAAATTGTAGTAAATTTTATCTAGTTTAATTCGTACATAGATACTTTTATCGTAGAATAAGCCAGAAAGGAGATATATAAAAAACTCTGTTTTTCACGCCATTTTTCCAATATGCGGCAACTTGCCGTCAATTTGAGGTGGCAAGTTGATTTTCGTATGAGCACCTCGAAATCTATAGATTACCAATTTCAGAATTCCCGGAGTACTGTAACCGGCAAAACGACCAAATGACTGGACTATTAGGTGTACGTGCATTTAAACATTAAATTATTTTAATCAATCTATTAATGATTTAGGTCTTGATATTTCCAGGCGTCGCTACGGCGACATGTGTCGGCCCGAGAGCCTAGCGGCGGTCGCCTTCACCAAAACAATACAACACAACAAACCGACGATGAAATTCGTCGATGACAACAAAGTAACAACACGATAAAAGCTAAAAATCCCTTAACAGCTTCTGAAAGAAATACTCTCGAATAATTCTATAAGTTTTTGACTTAACCTAGATTGACCGCGGTGTAAATAGTAAGAACCCGAGAGATATGCCACGCCAACTCCAGTAATTCCCAGCTGATGATGAAACCAGCGCGGAAGAATGGCTCGCCTGGATATTGGACGCGATACGTAAAATTCGATCACAGAAACAAAGACCAAGTGTCGAACGAATCTGTCACGCAATTAAACAACATCACAAGGATTACCACGAAGACGTGATAGCCGAACAATTAGAAATGGCAGTCCGACGAGGAAAAATTCTCAAAGTATTCAATAAGGGACAGAGTTCTTACAAAGATCCTGGCAGGTTGAGGTCTCGAGACTTGAAAGTCACTCGTAATACGGATCTTTCCAAAGTTTTGGCCAGGGCGGTGAAGGAACTCGGCGAGAGGGATGGATCGGCTTTGAGGACTCTTGAAAAGTTCATTAGGCAATCGTATAAGTTGGTTATTGATCCGCCAGATTTGGATTTAAAGTTAGTTCTTAAGGTATCGTTGGAGAAAGCTGTGGAAAAAGAGTTTGTGGAAAAGAGAGGAAAATTGTACAAGAGCACAGGAAAGCCTTTGACATCGACTGCGAGTCCTGGATCAGGCAGAGGCAGGAGTAAAAATGGAGGTGGCACGCCTAGGACTTCTGATGAATTTCAGGTAAGAAATAAAAAAACATTACTTTGCAATGAATGAATGAATGAACTGTGTGAATGTGATTGAACGACATACAAAATAAAAACGACAACTTAAATTTTGTATACTTTTGGGACAGTTTTTCATCAGTTCTTTATCATAAACAGTTTTTTTTTATAGTAATCGCAAAAAATCGAAGATGAAAATATTTGCATATCTTTACGTTTCAAGGTTTCTGAACATTTCGGCATGGCTTATATAATCTTATTGTTAAACAAAAAAGGATTTTTATTTGTTTGTTTGGAAAGATTTATTTGTTTCATATTATATTACATAAAAGAAAAAGTAAGTATATAGATTTTGTATACCTATCATCTGATACCAATACAATTCATTGATAAATAACATTTGAAACATTATTGATTGTATATAATTAAGTAAATTGAATAAATAAAGGAAAAAAAATCACAAAAAAACCTATTGCACTGTTGATTTTTGGATGTGGCTTATAGTGTTAACACTAGAAAGACGGACGAATTGAGTATACCTACATTGCCTGAAAACAGTCAAAATGACTGCGTCGTGAAAAAAATAAATAATGCGTTTAGAATTTGTTTAAAATTAATTTTTAATATTTCATGTACTATTTACATTTATACAATTATCTATGAGTGCTAAAAATAAAAAATAGTACATCTGAAAAAAAAGTTCATTATTTTTACAATTCATGCAAATAATTTGAGATCTTTTTATTATGAGTACATTTTCCGGAAACATGTTTGTTGCAACTTTGACACGTATTATTAGTTTTATTATTATACAAAGTCTTATTTGGCAAATTTTCTTTTATTACTACTGGTATTTGCATGATGTCTGTGGTCATCATTTTTCTTTGTTTTTTTTTTGTGTGTGATGTCGTGTAGTCCGCAGAAAGCTGATCTGCCAATTCAAACAAAACTGTTCTCCAAGGATTTGTTTTCTTTGGATTTTTATTCTTGTCGCTTCTTTGTAAAGAATCCAGGCATTTATCGCAGCCAAATCCAAAATATTGAAAAATATTTGCAGGGGTCATCTACGTGAACTGGATTTCACGGTATATTTTCTTTACCTTTGATCTGTCATGTTTTCTTTGCTGACCATAAATAAGTCAATTTCAAATTTTTTGCCTCATAGGCCCCACGAGCATATAAATTCCAGTAAATGCACGTATTTCCGGTAACGATGTTGTCCAATCGTACCCCAAAATTTGACTGCCCTCTCTTCTGTGCACTGTTTTATGTGTTTGATAATATAATTATCTATTATCAATGAAAATGCACTGACAAGATCACCTGTAATAATATTCTTTTTTGCAAAGCTCGTTGGCCCTTTCACACCCTGAAAACACAGATGATGACCTTCCTGGAGTACCACCTTCGGCAATTTTGGTCCATACAGTACCATCGACAGCTGTTTCCGTTTCTTGAATTCTTTCATCAGTTCCTGAGCCACTTAGCACCCTCCTGCATACACTGATGGCACTTTCATTTTCATCAATAGTGATCACCTTTATCGCTACCCTCAGAATTAGATGATTCACGTGGAATATAATCCGATTCATCTTCTGATGATTGTGCCCAATTTTCTGCATTTGATTCTATGTCGGAACACTCTTCACTTATGTTTGTTAGCTTTTGCAATAATTCACTTCTCTTCGACATTTTATTTATAAGTTCTAAAAAATCATCTGAACAACGCTTTATACTGAAAGTTACTACGTGAAAAAGACCGGTCTAATGTCAATACTTACCAAATTTGGTTATTCTTATATAACAAATGCATTATCGCATATTGGAGATGAATGCACGCGAGGTAACGATTTGCAATACAATAACAAAGCCGTTTGTAATGTAAAATTTCTATAACAGTCAAAATGACTGTTTTCCGTCCATGCAGGCATAACATGTAAGAATATTGAAAATAAAAGTGAGATAAAGCAAATAATACGATTTATCTACGCATTTATATGTTGTATAAAAGTCAAAAATTTCACGAAGCTGCGACTTCAAATACATAGTTATTTTTATGTTTGAAAATGGAAAACAGTCAAAATGACTGCGTCCGTCTTTCTAGTGTTAATTATTAAGAATGACTGACGGTAGGTTTGTAATTGTTATATCAAAACATATCTTGAGTTATAGATCCAATATCCGTAAGGTTGGTTATTACTATGTTTGCATTTTTCAAAAAATTTCTTGCTTGCTTTTATAATTTCATATACAAAAAAGGATATATGTGTATATGTATGTATGTGCGGATACGGATTTTTGTCGATGATTTCGAGAGTACGGTTGAACCGATTTGAATGATTCAGAAAATATTCGATTCCTCTTGATGTTTAGGCATGCTGATTAGTTTTTGGCAAAGGCAGGTCCAGCCTTTTCGAAGAGACGGGGTAAAAAGTGCAAAAAAAAGAAAAATCATTTTTTGAGAGAACGGAGCATTCGATAAGAAAGAATGATTCATAAAACATTTTTTTTGTACTAACGGAATGAATAGTTGATTAAATTTTTGGAATGGCAGATTCAGCAGTTTCGGAGATCTAATAAAAAAAAGTTTAAAAAAAAAAATGCTATTTGGCGGTCAAAAATAATCATTTTACATATGCACATCAAATTATCATATATATTATAGACATTTTAATAATTAGCACTAATTGGCACTTTCTGGGTTCTATATCAAGATTTTTAAAGTTTCAATTTCACTCAAAAATAGTCCAATCAAATGTCCTTGACATTTTGACAGTATGCATCTACCGACTTGAATGGTTTTTAAAATAACCGAAAATTCCAAAAAACCCGATTTTTTTCAAAAATTTCAAAAAAAAAAATTTTCTTCCAAGTTTTAAAAAAAGTTTTAAGCTTTGCACTGCATGTTATTTGTGCACTTATAATTTTATATTCTATTGAATTCTGATTTTGCAAAATTTAAAAAAAAAAATAAAGCTTTTAAAAATTTCTAATTATCATTTTAATAATTACCACTAATTTGCACTTTTTTGGGTTCTGTATCAAGATTTTTAAAGTTTCAAATTCACTTATCAAATGTCCTTGACAGTTTGCAAAAACCGACTTGAATGGTTTTTAAAATATTCAAGAAATCTCAAAATTTTAAAAAAAAATTCAAGCTTTGCACTGCATGTTATTTGTGCACTTATAAATTCGATTGAAATCTGATTTTGCAAAATTTAAAAAAAAAATTTTTTAATCTCAAATTTTGGAACGGGAAGTTCCAGCAATTTACCTTAAGTTTATTAGTTTATTTTACATTTTTACAATTAAAATTTTACAAAAAAGTGTGTGCAATATTTATATGAAAAATTAAGTAAAAATATTTCTGTTTCCATATTCTGCGTTATAATACATACACATCTTGCAGTAATTCTTTGTTCGCGGTATTGATTATCTTCGTGACTTGTATTCTCAATGCGTCTGTCTACTTACTTATATATATATGTATGTGTATATATATATATATATATATATATATATATATATAATACATTACCTTTCCTTTCCCTTGGTGTAAAAAGCTCGGTGACTTGTGTTTGTCTACTATTTCGTCCCCTTGTAATAGACTCTGTTCTGTTGTTGTTCGCTCTGCTCCTTATAAAATATTCATGTTTTGTATTGCTACAATACACGTTTTTATTTTCAAATATTGTTACTCGAATTAATGGAAAAATTTGGACACGAATGCTATGAACATGAGAATAGGGGGGGAGGGTTCCAGATTATGTAATTTTATTTAATAATATTTTTTCATTAATTCGATAGGGTGCCTGATATAAGAGATTATGAAACAATTTTCATATTTACATATCATTTGTCTATATCATTTCATTTCTTCATAATATTTCTTTTTTTTTTATTTTACATCATTAAAATATTTTTATCATATTTAACACGTCAATTGCCATGTCAGTCATATGTGTCTGACGCTAAGAAGTTCTACAGATCCATGTCGGACATACAAGTCTGCAATATGATGGTAGTAAGATTAAAAATGTGTTAATATGGGGCTGTGTCAGTCATATAATGAGACATGAAAAAATTCCACAGTAGTTTCCAAAATTTTGTCAAAAAAATTTTTTTCTTTGATACATTTTTAACTAAATTATCTTGTAAAGTTACCGTGAACATTTTTCTGAAATATCGTGGCGGTTAACGTGTTAAAGAACGAGGGAAAACTTTCCTGTATATTTTTGTCGCGTCGTAGTCGCTCTTAATAGGGGAAGTTAAAACAGGGGAAAATAATTATTTGTGGCCTAAATGTGATCCCAATAGAAAATATTCACTTTAGTATTATCGGTATTTGACAATATTGTTGCAGTTCAAATTTCAATATTTTATTTCTTATAAAATTAGAATTATACACGCAAATCCATTTAAATATTCACATCTTTGCAACCTTTGCAATTCTATTCCAGTGTAAGATTTAATTTGCTATAAATTTTATAATTTATGATATCAAAATATCAAATTCTTATAAAATTAGTATTTCACATGTAACTTAATTTATTCATAGATTTTTTCAAATATACATTATTTTAATAATTTTTTATTTATTACGCTACTGATTATTTCAACGGATATGACTGTCATTTAAATTCAAGGCCAAAAATAATTAACATATTTACTTCAATAAATGATACCTGATATGTACATTACAGCATGTAGTGAATATTTTATTTTAAATAATCTAAAATTATTTTTTTAAATTATTTTAAAATTATTTGCACTACAAGTATATAATTATTAAATTAAAATGAAAATTTAGGATATATTTTTAAAATTGATTTTTTAATTTTAAATTAACGAAGATTATAAATTATGAGCAAGTTATTTGATAAATATTAAAAGGAACAATTATCACTATTACTATTTATTATTCAATTACAACAATATTTACTATTTACTGATATTTATAAAAAAATTTATTCCTCAAATAACTGAAGGCTAATTTTTCTTTCAAAATGTCACAAA